GGATTTGGTGGGGTCCCACATCGATTGGAGTAAGAAACGAGTGACAGCGAGGACACTGGGCTCAAGTAAGGACGCTAAGCCCCGAAGGGGGGTGGATTTGGTGGGATCCCATATCGATTGGAGTAAGAAACGAGTGACAGCAAGGACACTGGGCCCAAGTAAGGACGCTGAGCCTCGAATGGGGGTGGATTTGGTGGGGTCCCACATCGATTGGAGTAAGAAACGAGTGACATCAAGGACATTGGGCCCAAGTAAGGACGCTGGGCCCCATGAATTTGGTGGGGGTCCCACATCGATTGAAGAAAGAAACGAGTGACAGCGAGGACACTAGGCCATGAAGGAGGGTGGATTGTGATATCTCACATTAGTTGGGGAGGAGAACGAAACACCCTTTATAAGGGTGTGGATAATATCTGCTAGCGGTGAACTTGAGCCGTTACATTCATTAACGCATCAATCAACATATCCATACTGCTGAGAAAATGAATATTTATATTCATACGATGAAATCTATGAAAAAACAACACATGACTTATATACATATACCTTAACCAAACCATCTTCGATGTGTGTAATTGATCGAAGAGTAATTACACTTGGTCTAGCTTCACCGACTCTCGTTCTTTAAAATTTCAATAATAACATCAAATGAATGTTTACCAATCACACAAAGTCTTCCTCACATCAATCCTCCAATAGGGTAATGGTCGGTGAAACTTCCAAGATATTTCAACTTCAAATCAATGCATCATCCTTGAAGGGGACAAGAAAAGGAAATCAAAGCCCCACTTTCCCTTTTGTGTTATGGCAATAAAAGACCACAGGTTTTTTTGTCTCTAATCCTTCCCAGGATCGAGCCAAGAGACGAGAAAATTGGGTCGAAGCTCACATCCTGCTCCCAAGTCCATGGTTACGTATGCCCTGGACCGTAGAGTTCACGTGTTCGATCCAAACTCAAGGAAAAAAATCTTGTTCTTTAACTTAAAAAGGTTAAGCAATGGAGCAAGCCTAACAAGCACCACATCTATATGCAATTTCAATATCTTTTACAGATAATGGTGTCCCCCAAATCAAATAAGTTTACCTTCGTTGTCACATGAAGATATGTTATGTTTTTCTTCTTTGGATTTTGACAATAACATTTGGCGTAAATATGTACATCAAATTCAAAGATGAGTTAAATGATGGAGAAACTAGAACTAGAAAAGACAATCCAAAAGGGAACCGACAATCAAAGACAAGAAGGAGAATACATGTGGTTGGCTCATTATTGATGGCAAAGAACTTTGAACAAAGTTGTCACCAAAATTGTTCATCCTCACGAACATAGAGGTGCATATGCTACTTTGTGATGCTCCGAGCAGTTCATATGGTGGAATATTTCCTCTAACGTACAATAGACTGATTCATTTACCATAATTTTTTGATACCAATTGTAACAATTTGGATCTATCAGGATCATTAATAAAAAAAATAATTTGAAATAAATAGTGAGACTCGAATTATAGACCGTCACTGACGTGGAATATTTGAAAATACACATAAGTTCGATCCTTTTTTTGGAACTAATAAATAAAGTGTAGGTCCACCTGTACACTTAACACTGGGTGACGTTCATCACCTTGTTTGGTGACCTTTGTGCAACATATTATCTTTATCACATAACTTGTAATTATCATAAAATCATTATAGATCATGAATCACTTTGTCCAAAAGATAGATCTCGTACACAATTTCAATACAATTTGATTGATGCACGATCAAATCGGGATGGCTAAACTCATTAGGGATCAAGAGCACCACTATGGCACCAATTCTCCCATCTCCGACCGGGCTACCCCACTATATGCAACTTAAATTATAACAACTTTTAACAACTTTCCCCGTGTATTGCAATATGACCCCTAAATTTCTAATAATTTCAAAATGCTCCCTATCTCACTCTAGAAGCCTTCATAAACAAGCTAATGTAGGGGCGAAATACCCAATTCGCCCTTTTTATTTTCCTATTTAAGCTCCCTGATTCATTTCTAATTCAATATTCTCATAATTCCCCAATTTCCATCTTTTCAGACCGTCTCCAGCGCCGCCTCCTCCCACCGCTACTGCAACTTCTTACTCCTCTTAACTCTACTTCCATCAATGGATTCCAAAGAACCGAAGCGGCGATTCTCGGACCTGCCGCCGAGAAGAGGTCAGATCCTGATCGGGATCTTCAAAAGCATCTTCAGAACCATTAAACCGATGCCGGAAGGATTCGAAAGTGATCGGAGAAAAATCGAATCCCTAACTTCATCTCCGATCACTCCGGCTACGAATTCCAGTGGCTACAACTCGGAAGAGTTCAGTCCGAGTCATGACGAGTGAGCGAGTTTGTTATGAATTCGCTCACTGATCGGTTACTCTCGAGGTCTTGCTCTCCATCCGCTGTGACGAATTATTGTTTCTGTATTTCAATTTCTGTTGTTTTTGTTGTTGTTAATTGTATATTGTAGAGGAGACGAAAATTTCGATTCTGTATATAAACAATTTATTGTGGATTTTGGTTAATGTGATTTCGATTTTGGAATGTTCTTCTGAATCATCCATTGAATCTCTTCTCCGATCGCTTTTCCTGCTCTGTTTACTTTTCGAATCAGAGGATTTTTGGTCATTTCGTCTTCGGATTTTGTGTTCAATTGGTTGGATCTAAAAAAATACAAATATCTTTTTTTTTTTTTTTTTTTTTTTTTTTTTTTTTTTTTTTTTTTTTTTTTTTTTTTTTTTTTGGCATAACCAAACGCCCTTGTCCTTTCAATTCCTTGTTCATTAAGCGTCTTAAAAAAAAAAAAAAATTAAAATTGTGATGCTAACCTAACTAAGATGAAGTCAATTATGTTGCGAAGATATGGCTGTTCATTTCTAAGATATGTCAAACCTGCCTTTATAAATTATATAATTTTTTGTTATTTTGAATTTATATTTTTAAAAATGAGTTAAATTACTATGTTATCTCTTATCTCCTAGCCGTTAATTTACCATTAATAAATATTATTCACTATCGTCTATCTCATGATTTTAAAATGCCTTTTACTAGTAGAAGTTTCTACTTCTCTATACAAAAATGTTAATTATTTTCGAAATTTTTTTTCTATAGTAATTATTGATTATTCGAAGATAAATCAATTATATGTGGCGAGAAGATTTAGATTTTATTTTAAAAATATATTGAATATTATTAAAATTTTAAATTAAATAGAAACAAATTTGAAAATTTTATTCAAACACAAATTTAAAATATTTGAAAGTAAACTTGTAATTGGAGGCAATACTTTTAATGGACAAGAGATATCCCATAACTTAGCAGGTCGGCTTACGTGGCACGATCATTGCTCCATTTTTATTTATTTATTAATGATTTCTTTTTCCTTCTTTTACAGTACAAATTGTTCCAACCCTTTCACTTGACAAATTTGCTTACGTCATTATGTGGATGTCACGCTTACGCATTTTTCAATATTTTAATTTTTTAAATCCTTATTTTATTTCGAAGTTTTAATACTTTATAAATTATTTACTTTTTAGTCCTTGCAATTTTAATATACTGTGGTTTGGTCCATGCTATACTTTATTTTTATATCTTCCATTCTTTATTAAACAACAAAGTTTATGAAAAATTTAATTTTTAATGGTATGTAATTATTTTGTATTTAATTTATACCTACAATAATAATAATAATAATAATAAATATATTTAAAGCCTATTAAATATAAATTTATTAGATAGTTTTACTGAATAAATGCTCATTGACACAAATTTGTGAGTTTAAGGATTAAAATTCGAGTAAGGGAAAGATTTAAACTTTTTACTTTTTAGTTGATGTTATACTTTATTATATTCGTTGAATTTTGCTCGTGCTGAAGTGAAATTCCTTTCTTACCCCTTATCTTATTTTATTTTATTTATTTGACCTTTCAGTATGTTAAACAAATAATGGGAGTACGTGTCACTATTTAACCATTTTTCAATAGTTCACATTTGCTGCTTACGTGTCATATCGCAAAAATGTTTAAATTTCTGTTAAATATAATTTTAATTATTAACATTAATTATTTTCTAAATTTATTCTTGTCAAAGTCAAATCTTCATCGAAGCTTGGCTAAACTTTCTACTATTTAATAAAGTTTGAAAGTTTTATAATAAATTTTGAATTAATTTTTTTGTTTTGGAAAATTCTAATGAAATTATGACGTGACAACTTGGCTAAATGGCGTGGAAGAGATAGACGTTCATGCTTATATAATAAATAATGAGGTACCTATAATTTAAAATTAAAAAATCCATATATTTTTTAAAGTAATAATTCTCCTTTTGATAATTAAATTTTGTAACAAAAAAAAAAAAAAAAAAAGTCACATTCTAAAATTAAATAGATTTGACTGGTCAATGCATATACCCAATAAATATACATAATATCCTTATATTAGGCTAAAGATATTTAGCTCATTTAAAGGATAAAATTGTACTATTTTTTTAATAAATTAATAAAAAAATATTACTCACCTCTTTTCAACTTTTCAAAGTTTCAATAATATTCTTATATTAATTTTTTTTAAAAAAATACTCATAATATTAATTTTGAAAGCAAACGGTTAATATTACTCCGTTTAGAATCTAAAAAAACCTTTAATTTTATTTAAAAAACTAAAAAAAATATGGATGGAAAGAATAATAACTTTTTTTTAATATTTTTTTATAAACATTGAGTGATTAATGCATATACTTTTTTTAAATATAGTACGGGTGATAATAATATTTTTAATTTTTTTTAAAAAAGTGAAAAATATTAGCTAAATTTAAACGTAGTTAAAATTGCAAGAATATTTTTAAATAAATTATATTAATTTATGGTTCTAAAAACAATTTACTATTTTTATTTGGTGGATAAAAGTTTTCTTTTTTTACGAAATTAGAAAATAAATTAATAAATCTATGAAGTTTCTTATTTTATTTTAAACAGAGTTTGGTCCTTTTCTGCAAAACCCCGCTTGGGGTTGGCTTCTTGGTGACGACGGTTGGAACTAGGGCTCGAGTTGACAGCGGTTGCGCTATGCTGCCGACCACGATGAACACATTTCCGGCGAAAATGGTTGAGGGTCTCTCTCTAATCAGAACGTTTGCAACGTTTCCCTCTTCTCAGCTAGGTTCGCTTTAATCTTTAACGCTTTTTTTAAACTGTTTTGTATGATTATTGGAGGATTCAAACATGAATTTACACACTTCATTGCAATTTTAGGTGCTCCGAATTATGGATTTGTTTCGTTCTTGCATCACAATAGAGGATCGAGGTTGAATTTTCCTAAAACGGCATGGAGTTTGGAGAAATGTAGTATGCGCGTGGAGAACAGTTTGCAAGCACTTCGCCCTGCCTCTGAAGCTTTTGCTCAAGAAGCTACTGAAGCTCTTAAGGCTGGGAAGGTTATTGCAGTCCCCACTGATACTCTTTACGGACTCGCTTGTGATGCTTGGTATGCATTCCTTTTAATGGGTTGTTTGTGTAATTTCCTTTTCGATTTTGTGATTTTCTTTTGTTTTTGCCAATTATGAAAGAATTTTATCAGTAGTAATATAGATCTTTCTTAAGATGAAGTCTTCATGGTAGGTGTAGGTGGGGAAGAACCTCTGATTCTTCCAAAATTTCTTAAAAATAGAGGATGGTATTTGTGATCTTAGTTTAGCACAAAGGTTTTTGGTGAAAGATCTTGGTTGAGTCAGGAGTACTGATCGTATGAGCGTGGGTGGCACATGGTTGTTTGACGCTCGCTAGTCGATGTTTGTCTTTCATTGAGATGAGACATCGCCCAAACTCGTTTTAGCATACGGCGCATGAGTGTCTCTCATGGTTGCTAAGATTGAGAGACTTTTTCGAGTTGGCAGGTAGTCTTTTGGGAGAAATGTGGTGGTAATGGTGAGCAGTAGGAGGTGGTCATCTTCTTTAGTACTGTTACTAGGTGGCGGCGGTGTGAAGGATCGCTTGGCCACAATTTAGTTTCATGCCAAGCAATGGGCTCTTCTTCAGGAAAAGATGTCTTACAGAGGATTCAATACGGGTGTAGCTATTTTCAAATACTAAAGGAAAATGTTGCATGGTAGCTTGGGAGAATCTTCATGGGAAGGTCTTCGTTCTTTATTTCACAGGCACGGAGGAAAATGAGTGGATAATCTTCAAGGAGAAACTAGAAGTACTTTTGTTGCGGAGTTCGAACTTTCCTCCACTCTTTTCATGTCCTTGCCCTTCTCTCATCGCTTGGACATCTTTTTCTTTTAAAAAGATGGTTAAGGAATCTGTTGCTTTGCAATTGGAAGTGTGAATGGTGAAGGAGGGTACGATCGAGTTTGTTTTTGATACTAGAAGAGTGGTTTTGGTGCGAAGCAAACTCTCTTCTAATTCTTGGTCTTTGATTAATAATGGATTGTGAGAAGTCTGAATGTTTGCTAGAATAATTGCATTACTGATTGGATTCTGAGGGAAATACAACATAGTGATATGATGTTATAAGATTGATGGACAATTATGAAATTCATCATTGTGTTAAAACATAATCTTTTCCGCGCTCGTAAGGATCTAAAAATGGTTATCAATTATGCATCCTTTTAGAATAATGTTTCAATCTTTTAAAACGCTCTTCTTTCCTAGTTTGGAGGTGTTATCCTGTTTGTGAAGTTATATGCACAAATTAACCATTTCTAAACTTAATAATGTTGCAGTGTGCATTTATGTAACTGTGGTTTCTGTTGGGATTAATTTTGCAGTTCTTCTGAAGCAGTCAATAGGATTTATGAAATTAAAGGACGTAAACTTACAAGCCCTCTCGCCATTTGTGTTGGCGATGTCTCTGACATAACTCGTTTTGCTGTAGCAGACCATTTGCCTCATGGTTTGCTTGATTCTCTCCTTCCAGGACCGGTGACCGTTGTACTAAAAAGAGGTTTGTACTACAAATCTCTTTCTTTTGATAATGTAACCTTGACGAGCATTCTTTGATTGAAGAAAGTAGACGAGTAACTATTTTTTTGGGTAGCGTACTCAGCTACTGTTGGGCGGGTTGAAACAATCTTTTGGATATTCTGTTCTTTACATTGACTAAACCGTTTTATTTTTTTTTAAATGCTAAAGAGTACTCTAGGAGGGTTTCTCTCCCTATGGAGACAAGATCTTAATTTGAAATATCCCTTATTAATGGATTGGACTGTCGATGTTTAAATGGTTGTCCGCATGTCACGCCTACATATCCAAGAATATGTTCATTTAGATTTTAGTCTCTAACCTTCCTGTAGTCTGAGTTTTTTACATTTAGATTTTTTGTAGGCGAGTCGAGTATTCTTGAGAAATCTCTGAACCCTGGATTGGAGAGTATAGGAGTCCGAGTACCCGATGCTGACTTCATTAGGCTTATTTCCCGTAGATCAGGGACAGCACTGGCTCTTACAAGTGCTAATTTAAGTGGACGACCAAGCAGTGTCTGTGTCAATGATTTTGAAAACCTATGGCAACACTGTGCTTATGTCTACGATGGTGGCGTTCTTCCTGCTGGACGAGCAGGTTCTACGATTATCGACCTCACCAAGCGAGGGATGTTTAAGATAATCAGAGCTGGAAGGTATGTTTGTTCTTGTGATTCTTCTATTTTCGTCGTATGACTCAAACAATGGTGTGTATCATAATAATGTTGATTCTACATTTGCAGTGCTAAGGAGCAGACTGTTGCAACACTTGAAAGGTATTCACTGTTAGAAGAAGCAGATAGTGCTGCTTGAGCATCAGAGTCTTCTCCACTTCCCAAACCATTTTTGTTAGTCATTATAGATGGAGATTGCGATGGATTTTTTTAGGCCGAGTGAAAGTAGATCAATTCTTATGGGTTAAAGTTTAAACTGATATCAACCACGACTAAAGGAATTTTGATACTTTAAGGTCCAATTACAAGAACGAGAGTCAAGAAGCTACAACGAATCTTATATACTTATATTCAAATTATGGTGAACTCACCATAGGATATTTTAGAAGACAAATCTTATATACTTATATTCAAATTATGGTGAACTCATCATAGGATATTTTAGAAGACGTTGGAGACCTCCCTTATATGTTGTGCAAAGTTGAGCTTCAAGAAATAGATGAATTAAATGCACCTTAAGTTGGCTGAATTTATGAAACTAGTCCAAAGATGACTAATAAGCACATTTCATTCATTGCACTATTTAATTATAATAGTCAATAATTTGACTATTTGTTTGTCATATTTAAACTAGTTTTAAATATAGGAGCTAGGTTATATTGTAATTCACATCGGTTACTATATTCTATCATTAACTAGCCATTTTAATATGGAGGTTAGAGGTATTTCTCATATACTAATCTATTTAATTTGGGAGTTACTTATCACACAGGTTAAGGTTGTAAAGGCTATATAAAGCCTTTAAGGTAGGTTGTAAAGACTATATAAAGCTAGGTTGTAAAGGCCATATTAAAAATATCAGATTTTGGAATTAAGAATAAAATTTCTATTTTAGCTATATAAAGCCTTAAGGTTGTAAAGGCTATATTAAAAACATTAGATTTTGGAATTAAGAATAAAATTTTTATTTTAGCTTGGTTGAGAGTTAAGTTTTTTTTGTTACAAATTCTTGTATTTATAACTTGCATGCTAGAGTCATTCAAGTGGTATTGATCAAACCTCTTGTAGAGTGATTCGAATCACGAGTTTAAAAACGAGTTTTCTTTACTCTTGATCATCAAGGCAATCCGTTTCATACTCTCCATTGGGTTGATTTCCATATCATAAACCCTTAATTTCTAAAAATTATATTGAGATTTGTCTTTGAAGTTCTTACCTTTTTCTATATGATTATTTGTCAAACACTGTTGATATTTGCTGTACTTGTTGGAATGAGGAAAACTTTCAATCTTGTATACCCATTTGCAGAATGTCTAAACATGATGAGTGATATAGACATTATTTACCAACATATTTGGCAAAGCGTGCCTCGTCGCTCACTTGTAGAATGTCTAGACATGATGAGTGATATAGACATTATTTACCGACATATTTGGCAAAGCGTGCCTCGTCGCTCACTTGTAGAATGTCTAGACATGATGAGTGATATAGACATTATTTACCAACATATTTGACATAGCGTGCCTCGTCCGAGAGCATCACACAAAGTATTAACACAAAACTAAAATTTCTAAAACTGGAAGCAGAAGAACAATAACTCTTTCAACCATAAATCAACAACTAAACTAATTTTTGTACATTTTGATCTTAACTGTCAACTAATCATTTGTTTGAATTTACTCATCTCCAAAGTTAACAATTGAAGGAAGCAAAAACGCAAAGTTGGGTTAAATTGTACCGTAGCTTCGACCTCATCCACCTCCATTGGGTTGAAGACAAAGAGGCCAAGTGCAGGTCTGTGTGAGGCATTTCATCAAACAGCTAAGGAGCACTGCAGAAGAATAACGCAGATACACCCAACTTCTAATCATTCTTCAACCCACTTCCAAACCAACAAATTTCTTTACATTTCACTCTCCAAACAAAGGGTTTCCATTACAGAACAGATTCAAAAAGAAAAACCAAAACGAGATTGAGAGAGAGAGAGAGCAAAAAAGATTTTGAGTCTGTCAGACCGCCGTGCGACCATCCCAGGAAGGCAAGCCTACCCAAGAACGATCATCTACAGCTGCAGGACCAGAAGCCCATTAGCCGTTAGTCACGCTCTAGTCGCACAGCAGCAAATCATCCACCAGACTTTGGTTCTTGTCTCCTTAGAACTCAAGGACACAGTTGTACAACCTATAGAACAGATCCTGTTCAAGTAAGGTCGTGCCCAAACTCCAACATCATTCTATTTAAATAATGATATTATCATTTGCCAATTTCCGATGTGGGATATAGGGCTAAAACAACAATAGCCATCAAATCAGCTAATTTAGTGTAGGAATACAATGGTACTGGTAACCCTACTATACCTTTATTTTTTATAATTATTAAAAAAGACCTTTTTTTTTTTTATTTATAATTTTTCATTGTATTTCAACATATATTTTGAAAACTATACTTTACTTAAAATTTATTTTAAATAAATAATTATAAAACCATTATAAAAGAAAATATTATTTTAAATAAATAATTATAAAAGAAAATAAATATTATGTATCTATATGATTATAATTGTATCATAATAAAAAATTAAACTAATAAAATTTTCATTTATTTGAATTGAAGAATGAAAAAAAAAAAAAATCAAAATTGAATGTTTGGAAAGACGCTCAAAGTACAATGGCAGATGAGATGGTGGCGCCCTTTCTTCTTCTTCTTCCCTAGATCATCTGCTTCTCTTACTCACTTCCACGGCCAAGAACCATGGAAAACGATTACACGGCTATGGAGATCAATGGCCTTCCCACCTACGGATGGAAGGTACATCCTCTACAACGTTCTCGGCAACTTATTTGAGGTCTCCGCCAAGTACGCCCCTTCAATTCAGCCTGTTGGATGCGGTGCTTACGGCATTGTTTGGTACTTCTTTTCCTCCTCTTTCGTTTTTCACTTTGCTTCTAAGTTCTTCGATTTTATTTTGGTATATGCTTAATTTTTTCCCTGTTCAATGAATGCTTGTTATGTGCTAAGATTTTGATCATCTGTTTACTCAGCTGCACGACGAATTCGGAGACGAAAGATGAGGTTGCGATAAAGAAGATAGGGAATGCTTTTGATATCTGGGTTGATGCCAAGAGAACTCTTCGTGAGATTAAACTTCTATGCCATATGGACCATGAAAATGTATTTCACTCAAATAAACATTCTTCATTTGGGTGCAAATTTTGCTATGCTTTAACATCCATTTATTGCTGTGATTAGTTCTTAGAAAATTCCGCATATCCAGGTTGAACTTCAGCTTAATTAGTGTTTAATTTTGAACTTTTTATTTATATGTTTCTACTTCAGCTCTGTTTTTCTCATGCCATGAACAGATTTAGTTAATGTTTGATGAACGGATAGTTGTAATGTATAGTTTTCCTGGGGGACTTATTTGATTCTGCCATTTAAGCATAATGATCTGTTTTTAACTTCCTTTCAGATTATAAAGATCAAAGATATAATTCCTCCACCAGAAAAGGAAAAATTCAATGATGTGTATATTGTGTATGAATTAATGGACACTGACCTGCATCAGATCATTTGCTCTAGCCAAGCTCTAACAGACGATCACTGTCAGGTAAGGGACACTTATCATTCCGGTTAGATCTTAGCAAAAGATTGTTTCAATTTTTAGTACAAAGTTTTTATGTTGATTATGATTTTTTTGGAGGAACAAGAAAGATTTGAAACTGTCTAAATGATTTTATGTTTGTTGTTTGGACAGTACTTCTTATACCAGTTCCTACGAGATTTGAAATATTTACACTCTGCAAATGTCTTGCACCGAGATCTAAAACCAGGCAATCTGATTCTCAATGAAAATTGTGACCTCAAGATTTGTGATTTTGGGTTAGCAAGAACAACATCAGAGACGGATTTTATGACAGAATATGTTGTAACCAGATGGTATCGAGCTCTTGAGCTACTACTTAACACCTCTGAATACACTGCAGCGATAGATATTTGGTCTGTTGGATGTATTCTCATGGAAATTCTAAGGAGGGAGCCACTGTTCCCTGGTAAAGATTATGCGCAACAACTGGGGCTTATAACCGAGGTACTTAATCATTGTCTTCCAATTTTCTGCATGATGTTTGAAATTATGCATTCAACACTGAGGTGATGTGAGATCCCACGTCGGTTGCAGAGGAGAACGAAACATTCCTTATAAGGGTGAGGTTAGATGCGTTTTAAAACCATGAGGCTGACGACAATATGTAACGAACCAAAACGGACAATATCGGCTAGTGGTGGGTTTTGGGCTGTTATAAATAGTATTCAAGTTAGACCGGGCGGTGTACCAGTGAGGATGCTGGGCTCCAAGCGGGGGTGGATGGTAAGATCCCACATTGTTTGGAGAAGGGAACGAATCATTCTTTATAAGAGACGCGTTTTAAAACCGTGGGGCTGGTAACGGGCCAAAGCAGACAATATCGATTAGTGGTGGGTTTGAGCGGTTACAAATGGTATCAAAGTCAGACATCGGGCGGTGTGCCAGCGAAGACGCTGAGCCCCAAGGGGGTGAATTGTGAGATTTCACATCAATTGGAGAGGGGAATGAAACATTCTTTATAAGGGTGTGGGAACCTCTCCCTAGTAGACGGTTTTAAAACCGTGAGGCTGACAACGATACATAATAGGCCAAAACGGACAATATTTGCTAGCGGTGGATTTTGGCGGTTATAGGTGATCTCATTAATTTTTACAATAGTTAGTTTCATTAATTTTTACAATGGTGATCTCATCCTCCACTGGCGGTTGATCTTGCAGAGAGGATGCTTCTCTTTAATCCAAGCAAGAGAATAACTGGTAACTCACCAACCTTTGCATCTGACATTACTTAAGGAACCTCTTTTTCTTGAAACGAGATGCATTTCATATTGTGTTTACTAGTTGAGGAGGCAATGAATCACCCATATGTAGTGAGTCTTCATGAACTCAATGATGAACCAACCTTCCCTTCTCCTTTCAACTTCGACTTCGAACAGGCATCCTTAGATGAAGAAGATATAAAAGAACTCATATGGAGGGAGTCTCTCAAGTTCAATCCAAATGACATTCAGTTTAACATTTCACTCCTCTTCAGTTCATTGGGTGTTGATTGAAGCTTGATCTCAATTCAAAGATTGAGTATGATAGTGTGAATTGATGTCGTGTTAGCAGTTGGTTGGCTAGTTGGTAACAAAACTGGGAACTAATAATTCTTGTATAATATCATGCCAAAAGTTCATTTATCAGGAATTGGGAGGGCTCTATATTCACCATCTTCTGGAATCTTGCATTGTCCAGTGATAGTCAATACGACGTGAAATAGGGCTGCGTCGTCCTCGGCCTTTCGATCAAGCCTCTTCGCATGTCTTATAGTACACTGGGAAGTAAAATTTGTGTCTCTCACAGGAAGGTAAAATGTTATGGTTTGCTGCTCTTC